CATCAGCAGCATAATCAGCAAAGTTGACAAAGCTGCTGGCGGACTCGCACTTCTCAAAGTCGGAACGGTAGCCTGAGTCCTGGATCGTCATGAAGTTACGGAAGTGGAACGACCAATCGCCCCATTGAGCAGCCTCCTCTTCCAAAGACTTCGGATTGAAGAGGTCCGGGGCCTTCACATATTTCGTCTCCTTCCACTGGCTCGAGCTTTGGCCGCTCGAGGTCGTCGCCTGAGCCAGCTGCGCCACGGCAGCTACCAACTGGTTCAGCACCACTTCGCCTGTCAGAACAGGCTGTTCACTTGCTCCCCCAAGGCTTTGTCCCCCCAAAGGAGCTTCACTTGCTCCTGCTGTAGGCGAAGCCATCCCGCAGCCGCCCAAGGCGCAAGAAAGCCCACAGCGCACGACAGCTGCCCAAGCGCTGGCGGCACAGCGCGGAGGCGGAACTATGCTGCTCAAGACAGGCTCGGATCTACCATAAGGGCTACGGCTCTAAAGTTTACTGCGGATCTGGGTCCCGTCCGCTTTCAGTCGCCCAGGAAGGCCTGAGCTCCGACCGCACAACCACTAACCAACCAACCCGCGGATCTGGGTCCCGTCCGCAGTGAAAGCCTTTCGTCCAGATTCAAAGGAATAGATCGGTAGGCTCCGCTACCATAAACACCCAAACCAAAACTTGCGGTCTCACTCTTTTTGTGCAACCTTGAGCCTTCGGTACGATCACTCGTGATTGTCAAATCTGCTCTTAGCAGATTCAGGTTTCAAAGGTAAAACGGGGGTCTAGGTCTAGTCAAAAAGATTATTAAAATTTAACAGTGCGAATCAAAAAAATAAATTTGGAAGATAAGTTTGAGAAATTAAATTGATCTAGCAGAAGAATATGGCAGAAAAATTTTAATAGGGCGAATCGACCTCAATAAATTTAGAAGAAACATTTGAATAATCAGATAAATCTAGCAGAAGAATTTTATTAAGGCGAATTAAGAAAGATTGAATAGAAGATAGATTTGAATAAATGGATAGAATTAGTAGGAAATAGTAGGGAAAATTTCCAAGGCGAATCGAGAAAGAGATATTAGAAGATAGATTTGAATAATCAGATAGTTCTATAAAATATATAGCAGAATAAATCTATATTATTTTCTATAATACAAATATGAAATTTTGTTAACAAGTAATATCCTCCGAACCAATTATTTCAATAATAATTTCCAAGAGTTAGCTTCCGAAGTGATTAAAAATTAATTGAAATAAAGTCGCGGAGCAAATTGTTATCAAATTATTGAATTCCCAAATCCTGAATTTAATATATTAGAAGAATTTAATGAATCAAATATATTTAATATTATATAAATATAAATCAGGATCTATGACGGAAATTAGAAAATAAATTTTTTATATTTTATCAAAAGTCGTAATCTAAATCTACTTCATTCTTTAATTCTCATAATCTATATCTTGTAAGATATCCTGAATAAACGATGCCGTACTATATTAGTGACCTCAAAAAAGGACCATAATTGTTGATAATTACCTAGCTAGTAATACCAATAAAAAGAATAATGGCAAAAAAATCGTGGCACCATCAAGGAATATTCGTGAAGATATATTTAGCTATGCAGTTGGCCTTTCATATAAATTTGGGCTCAAGGAGATTTAGATCAATTACACTATACATAAGCCCATTTTTTTCCGTTGATTGGCCTCGGTGTAGAGTCAGCGCAGCCAACAGGATATATCAGATGCATCAACTGGAAAGTCGCTTGTAGTTGTTCCCTGGCTACGCTCAAGGCACTGATTGTCATCGTCCTGCTGTGACGCTTGCAGCAAGGTAGGTCTGCTGGAGCCAGTGCGGACTTGCACACACAAAGTTCCCCAATGTCTTTCTGTGAGACCAGGAGTTCTGACCCAAAATGAAACCAAGAGCGGTGTGAAATCATGTTGCACCATGGACCGCCAGGTAGCATCACGGGACATGGACGATCGAAACACCAAAGCGGCATCAACCACTGTCGCCCCAAAGGACTTCAACAGGATCTCAGCTACTGTTGCACAGCACCAGCCTAGTAAGAGATCCTGGATGTGACGCCCTCTGCTGGCACACTGCACCAAGGCTTGAGCCCGCAAAGGCATGTATCAGGGCCAGGGTCAACATCCTGTGGGCTTGCCTGCAACGATGCGCCAAGCTGCTTCCAGCCCTAAGCTTGACGACCGCTTGACCATCGACGAGCAAGGAACATGGAAAGGCATGTGTCCACGAGGGGCAGGCACTCGGATTCACATGGGTCCCGCCAAAGAACAACGCACGACGCGACATGGGGAACAAGAACAGACAGTCACGCAAAACACATCCTCCCTTACGTGAGGTCCCTGTCCGTGAGTGGAAGTGCCATGGCAATCGACACCTGTGACGTCGGAGGCTTCAGGCAGGTTCGCAGCTCTTGCAGGCAGATGGAATCTGGCAAACAGCTTTATCTCCCAGTCACAGCTCTGAAACCCCGGAATGCTGCTTCAATGCGGCGGCAGATTGCGAGCACATGATCCTGAGACCAATCTTCCGAAGGTCAACGACAGGGCATTGACATGGCATTGACGAAGCACCGTCTTGCCTTCGCTGGACAGACAGGGGCAGTAGCAAGAAACCACATCTATCCCACTCCTTGCCAAGCCAAAGCCAGCTCAGAGCCTGGTGTCGTCAGAATCACACTTTGGACACTCCAACAAAAATCCCTCTTGAGAAGGAAGTGGGGGACGAGTCAACAGGCCTGGCCGAGGCCGCTCAGCTGACACTCATTTCTCAGCTCCCTAATCATAATCCCTCATGCAACGTGGGGCGCCTCATCTTGGTGGTGAGGATCACTTCCAGTTCAAGCTCTTCTGCGCCTGCTTGATGCTTCGCCTTATCAAGCGGCAAACACCACGACGGACTTCTACGTGACACAAGAAGCACGCTGCCTTGTTCTGCGAGGCGACAAGACACGACACTTTGCAACGAGACATACCGAGACACAATATGCTTTGGGACACCGCGGCTTCTGCCTGCTGACCACTTTCTTGACAGGCATCTTCCTGCTGCCCTTCTGACTGAACACCCCGAAGGTGTGAGACTTCGGCTCAGACAAATCGCCCGTTCGACTTTGTGCTTAGGACCCTCCTGGCCACAGAGGAGCTGACTCGCATCAAGCGGTTCGGTGAGATTAGAGCTTCCTGACGCGAGGCGTCGGGGCTTCACCAGGTTTCAACCGCAGCCCCCATGCACGAGGAGCTTGGATGCCCAGGCGGTGCCGCAAGCAGGCCTGCAGCTGTTGGGTCAGCGCTGCATTGCCCACGCAGCCCATCGTTCCGGATCAAAGTCTTCCGCCGAAGGATCAAAGTCTCTTGATTGGTGTCCAGCAGAACCTGGGGACACGCTTCAACGACTGCAAACACGACGGGAATCTAAACCAATACAGCCTAGAAATGCTGCAAAATAATTGATCGACCTAGCCCTCCCCGGCTCTGAGAGCAGCCGAATGCCAGGCTTTGCTTGAGACAAACAACATCGCGTGGATCGAGCAGGCCCAACCTCAAGACTTCGAAAACCCAGTCATCTGCCGGCTGGCCCGCAATCTGGGGGAGAAGGCTGTGGTCATGGGCCGGATCTGGAAAAAAGTCTGCACCAGCAAGGCACACCTACAACGAGAACGCTGGCCGAAACACAGGCTCTGGTCTAGTGCATCACATGTGGACGTGCAAGGCGGGAAACAATCTTGACAGCTGCACTGCACAGTGCGACGTCAAGGATCTTGCACCGCTCTCATTGAACGTGGCCACGAGCCACCACTTCCCGCAACTAATGTACTTCCCGGTTCCCACCAAACCCCTTGTGTACCTGTCTCAAAGCTGCCCCTGCCGACAGTGATGCTCTGCTCTGTCACATGGTTTGCCACGTGCCGACTGCAGTACGACAACAACCTGGACGGAAGCCAGTCCTGTCATGCTCTACCTGCCAGGGACGCGCAGACTCTTTGCGGACTATCAGAAAAGGTGCCCAATGCCAACATGCTGCAGATTGACATCACGGCAGGAAACAATCTTGACAGCTGCACTGCACAGTGAAACGACAAGGATCTTGCACCGCTCTCATTGAACGTGGCCACAAGCCACCACTTCCCGCAACTAATGTACTTCCCGGGTCCCACCAAAGCTGCCCCTGCACGACAGTGATGCTCTGCTCTGTCACATGGTTTGCCACGCACCGACTGCAGTACGACAACAACCTGGACGGAAGCCAGTGCAGACTCTTAGCGGCGATCAGAAAAGGTGCAGAATCAATGCCAACCTACCGCGGATTGGCATGTGGTCTAGTGAGTCTAGTGCATTACATGTGGACGTGCAAGGCAGGAAACAATCTGGGCAGCCTCACTGCACAGTGTGACGACAAGGATCTTGCACCACTCTCATTGAACATGGCCACAAGCCACCACTTCCCGCAACTAATGTACCTCCCGGTTCCCACCAAACCGCTTGAGTACCTGTCTCAAAGCTGCCCCTGCACGACAGTGATGCTCTGCTCTGTCACATGGATTGCCACGCGCCAACTGCAGTACGACAACAACCTGGACGGAAACCAGTCCTGTCATGCTCTATACCTGCCAGGAACGCGCAGCCTCTTAGCGGACTATGAGAAAAGGCGCAGAATCAATGCCAACCTACTGCGGATTGACATCTGAGGTGCATGTGGTCTACTGCATCACATGTGGACGTGCAAGGCAGGAATTAATCTGGGCAGCCTCAATGCACAGTGTGACGACAAGGATCTTGCACCACTCTCATTGAACGTGGCCACAAGCCACCACTTCCCGCAACTAATGTACTTCCCGGTTCCCACCAAACCCCTTGAGTACCTGTCTCAAAGCTGCCCCTGCTCGACAGTGATGCTCTGCTCTGTCACATGGATTGCCACGTGCCAACTGCAGTACGACAACAACCTGGACCGAAGCCAGTGCACAGTCTTAGCGGACTATGAGAAAAGGTGCAGAATCAATGCCAACCTACTGCGGATTGACATCTGAGGTGCATGTGCCAGCCGTGCAGCCAAGCATCTTCGAAGCAGAACATCTTTCGGCGCATGTCCTTGATTCACCCGCCGTTCGTGAAGAGGGCAGAGTCTCGGGCAGACAGTGGTGAGAGCAGGCCATGTCGGTTGCTGCACCTCTGTCTGACAACAAGCATCAAAGCTCAAGGCTCTGCAACATCGGTTGTCCACCAGCTGCTGTATCGCATCACAGAGCCACAAATGCCTCGTTTGCTCTGCGGCCATGCGAAAAGTGAGTGAGTCACTCAGAAGGCTTGCCCTCAAGAAAAGCGGTGCCTCCGGTGATGTAACAACGTCCATGATAGCTTTTCGGCCGTAGGGGAATTGAGCGGCGCCTCGCGACAGATGAGGACAGTGGGAACAGGCACCGGCCGGAGAGGCTGCCCTGAGTCCGATGACGACACGGCCGCCGAAGCGAAAAGAAAGGGTGTGACGTAAAACCTTTGCTGAATAGCTGGATGTTCCACAGCAGAATGATGTACCTTGCTGCTGCCTGGCATGCGAAGCATGGCCTTGATTCACCCGCCGTTCGTGAAGAGGGCAGAGTCTCGGGCAGACAGTGGTGAGAGCAGGCCATGTCGGTTGCTGCACCTCTGTCTGACAACAAGCATCAAAGCTCAGGGCTCTGCAACATCGGTTGTCCACCAGTGGCTGTATCGCATCACAGAGCCACAAATGCCTCGTTTGCTCTGCGGCCTTGCGAAAAGCAACATGCCGCTGCTGCGGCAGGCACTTCAAAAGGCTTGCATCGAAACATACCGTAACATACCATTACTGTGACTGTGATGGACCATGAACGACGACGCGTGGAGGAAGGACCTGGTGCGAACACCACAAACTTCTCGATAGTTTCTGCTGCGTGTGGGTGGCACTGCAAAGTGCTGCACCCCGAAGGGGCGGCCTGTCCTGGCTTCCTGGTCCGACTTTGGGCCCAGGCATCTGCCTCGACTATGAGGTTGTCTTGGGTGCTGGGTGCAGAGATGCATGAGGCCACCCTTCGTTGCTTCCGTCTACCAATAGCCTAGGAGGCCTGGAGCCTCAGTCACCGCTGCTGTCATCCTAATGAAATGCATGCAGCCAACATTTCCAGGAGTTGCAGGCGCGCACAATTTGCGCACGATCGTGCTTGTCTTCGGCACGCAACATGCTGGAGATCTTCGGCAATCACCCCCCCTGACAGCTAGATAGTAGTAGGTGAAGTGAAGGATCCAAGCAAGGTCCTGAACTGGTCCTGCGTTCACGAACCAAGCCGGAAGGCGATATGCATTTCTTTGCGCCTCGTCACGGGCCAAGTGGCAAGTAGGCACGAGGACATCATGAAGACCTTGCGAAAGCGCGGTGTGAATGCGAACAGCCGGAAGCTCTGCCTGGAGCCTCAGAGGCACTATGGCACTAGGGAGAACCGTGGTCTTTCGTGACAGAACGACTTGGCCGAGCCATCGCGAATCGTGATCTAAGCCAGAACTGAAGAAGTGGGGATCTGTGCCTGTCTGTGCCCGGCCAAGCATGAGCACTTGCGCTTCTGGCTGTATGTCGCGTAGGAGCAACACTCCAGGAGCCGGTCTTGCTCAAACAAGGGAACCAAAAGGACACTGCTTGCCGGAGCATACATGCCAGTACTCTGTAAAGCTTTCGTTTTGGACATCCAGACCTCGCTGTCCTCTTTGCGCTGATTTGTCACGCGAGAGAGATCTTCGGCAATCAAACCCCCCTGACAGCTAGATAGTAGTAAGTGAAGTGAAGGATCCAAGCAAGGTCCTGCATTCACGAACCAAGCCGGAAGGCGACATGCATTTTTTGCGGCTCATCGCGGGCCAAGTAGGGGATCTGAGCTTTTCTGTGCCGAGCAGAACTGTTCAAGAACGGCTTTCACAAGAACCGGCTCGACAGCTGCAGTATTTTGCTAGGTGGATGAGCATGGGAGACCGGCAATCACACCCCCCCTGACAGCTAGACACTAGTTAGTGAAGTGAAGGGTCCAAGCAAGGTCCTGAACTGGTCCTGCGTTCACGAACCAAGCCGGAAGGCGATACGCATTTCTGGCGCCGCATCACGGGCCAAGTGGCAAGTAGGCACGATGACAACATGAAGACCTTGCGACAGCGCGGAGTGAATGCCAACAGCCGGAAGCTCTGCCTAGAGCCTATATGTCAACTGTTTCTTGAACGACAAGCCTATATGCGTCGATGCGTGAACGGCTTTCACAAGAACCGGTTCGACAGCTGCAGTTTTTTGCTAGGGGGATAAGCATGGCAGACCGGCAATCACACCCCCCTGACAGCTAGATGGCAGTAAGTGAAGTGGAGGGTCCAAGCAAGGTCTTGCATTCACGAACCAAGCCGGAAGGCGATACGTAATTCTTGCGCCTCATCACGGGCCAAGTGGCAAGTAGGCACGAGGACATCATGAAGACCTTGCGAAAGCGCGGTGTGAATGCGAACAGCCGGAAGCTCTGCCTGGAGCCTCAGAGGCACTATGGCACTAGGGAGAACCGTGGTCTTTCGTGACAGAACGACTTGGCCGAGCCATCGTGAATCGTGATCTAAGCCAGAGCTCTTTTCTGTGCCCGGCCAAGCATGAGCACTTGCGCTTCTCGCTGTATGTCGCGTAGGAGCAACACTCCAGGGGCCGGTCTTGCTCAAACAAGGGAACCAAAAGGACACTGCTTGCCGGAGCATACATGCCAGTACTCTGTAAAGCTTTCGTTTTGGACAGCCAGACCTCGCTGTCATCTTTGTGCTGATTCGTCACGAGAGAGAGATCTTCGGCAATCACACCCCCCTGACAGCTAGATGGTAGTAAGTGAAGTCAAGGATCCAAGCAAGGTCCTGCGCTCACGAACCAAGCGGGAAGGCGATATGCATTTCTTGCGCCTCATCACAAACCAAGCAAGTAGGCAAGAGGACAACACGAAGACCTTGCGAAAGCGCGGTGTGAATGCGAACAGCCGGAAGCTCTGCCTAGAGCCTCAGTGGCACTATGGCACTAGGGAGGACATCCAGACCTCGCTGTCCGCTGAACTGTCACGAGAGAGAGATCTTCGGCAATAACACCCCCTGATCACTGGATGGTAGTAAGTGAAGTGGAGGGTCCAAGCAAGGTCCTGCACTGGTCCTGCATTCACGAACCAAGCGGGAAGGCGATATGCATTTCTTGCGCCTCATCACAGGCCAAGTGGCAAGTATTGGCAAGTAGGCAAGAGGACAACACGAAGACCTTGCGAAAGCGCGGTGTGAATACCGACAGCCGGAAGCTCTGCCTAGAGCCTCAGTGGCACTATGGCACTAGGGAGGACATCCAGACCTCGCTGTCCGCTGAACTGTCACGAGAGAAAGATCTTCGGCAACAACACCCCCTGATCGCTGGATGGTAGTAAGTGAAGTGGAGGGTCCAAGCAAGGTACTGGTCCTGCATTCACGAACCAAGCGGGAAGGCGATATGCATTTCTTGCGCCTCATCACAGGCCAAGTGGCAAGTAGGCACGAGGACAACATGAAGACCTTGCGAAAGCGCGGTGTGAATGCCGACAGCCGGAAGCTCTGCCTAGAGCCTAGGTGTCAACTGCTTCTTGAACGACAAGCCTATATGCGTCGATCCGTGAACGGCTTTAACAACATCCGGTTCGACAGCTGCAGTTCTTGGCAGCTAGGGGGATAAGCATGGGAGACCGGCAATCACACCCCCCCTGACAGCTAGACACTAGTTAGTGAAGTGAAGGGTCCAAGCAAGGTCCTGAACTGGTCCTGCGTTCACGAACCAAGCCGGAAGGCGATACGCATCTCTGGCGCCGCATCACGGGCCAAGTGGCAAGTAGGCACGATGACAACATGAAGACCTTGCGACAGCGCGGAGTGAATGCCAACAGCCGGAAGCTCTGCCTAGAGCCTAGGTGTCAACTGTTTCTTGAACGACAAGCCTATATGCGTCGATGCGTGAACGGCTTTCACAAGAACCGGTTCGACAGCTGCAGTTTTTTGCTAGGGGGATAAGCATGGCAGACCGGCAATCACACCCCCCTGACAGCTAGATGGCAGTAAGGGAAGTGGAGGGTCCAAGCAAGGTCTTGCATTCACGAACCAAGCCGGAAGGCGATACGTAATTCTTGCGCCTCATCACGGGCCAAGTGGCAAGTAGGCACGAGGACATCATGAAGACCTTGCGAAAGCGCGGTGTGAATGCGAACAGCCGGAAGCTCTGCCTGGAGCCTCAGAGGCACTATGGCACTAGGGAGAACCGTGGTCTTTCGTGACAGAACGACTTGGCCGAGCCATCGTGAATCGTGATCTAAGCCAGAGCTCTTTTCTGTGCCCGGCCAAGCATGAGCACTTGCGCTTCTCGCTGTATGTCGCGTAGGAGCAACACTCCAGGGGCCGGTCTTGCTCAAACAAGGGAACCAAAAGGACACTGCTTGCCGGAGCATACATGCCAGTACTCTGTAAAGCTTTCGTTTTGGACAGCCAGACCTCGCTGTCTTCTTTGTGCTGATTTGTCACGAGAAAGAGATCTTCGGCAATAACACCCCCCTGATCACTGGATGGTAGTAAGTAAAGTGGAGGGTCCAAGCAAGGTCCTGCACTGGTCCTGCATTCACGAACCAAGCGGGAAGGCGATATGCATTTCTTGCGCCTCATCACAGGCCAAGTGGCAAGTATTGGCAAGTAGGCAAGAGGACAACACGAAGACCTTGCGAAAGCGCGGTGTGAATACCGACAGCCGGAAGCTCTGCCTAGAGCCTCAGTGGCACTATGGCACTAGGGAGGACATCCAGACCTCGCTGTCCGCTGAACTGTCACGAGAGAAAGATCTTCGGCAACAACACCCCCTGATCGCTGGATGGTAGTAAGTGAAGTGGAGGGTCCAAGCAAGGTCCTGCACTGGTCCTGCATTCACGAACCAAGCGGGAAGGCGATATGCATTTCTGGCGCCGCATCACGGGCCAAGTGGCAAGTAGGCACGATGAACTGCGCGTCTTCACCCGATTTAGCCGAACTCCACTTGCGTCGAAAGCCATCGTGGTCTGAGCCACAACTGAAGAAGTAGGATACGTAGGGGATCTGAGCTTTTCTGTGCCGAGCAGAACTGTTCAAGAACGGCTTTCACAAGAACCGGTTCGACAGCTGCAGTTCTTGCTAGGTGGATGAGCAAGGGAGACCAGCAATCACACCCCCTGACAGCTAGATAGGCGATACGCATTTCTGGCGCCGCATCACGGGCCAGGTGGCAAGCAGGCACGATGACAACATGAAGACCTTGCGACAGCGCGGTGCGAATGCCAACAGCCGGAAGCTCTGCCTAGAGCC